TAGGAGAGAATCCTAGAAGCTGAAAATGCAAAGCTATCTGAAGAGGTGGTGATGCTTTTTCACTATTCATTTCTTTTATTAATCGTTTTTGTTTTTTGTTTTTCTCTTGACTACCTTGAAACTCCTTATATCATGTTTGGAACCCAAAAAATTAAAATCCATCCATTTTTCCTTTAGAGATCTTTGAAAACCATTTTTTGTTAATTTAGGGAAAAATTGACTCTAAAAAACTGTGTTTCGAGCTAGTTTTAGAAAATGTGGTCTATCTTGAATAAAATTATTCGAGGGTATTATAGTTTTTGGATTAAAAACATGGAAAACAAAACTGGGTAAAATAGGGCTTTGGATGTTTCTAATTAATGTAAAAAGCGGAAATAAAATACAAATCCAAATAGACTTCTAACGTGTGTATGTGACTTAGCAGTGCAGGCAAATTTCATGGCAAGAATCAAATCAAGAGAGGGAAAACAGGGCATGTACAGAAAGCAGTGAGAATTCAGACGTTGAGACCGAGAGGAAGGCGTCTTGCTTTGCCCAATTAACTGGAGACGGTGCTTGCCCAAGTTTCATAATGATTCAAACCAACTTCGTACATTCATAATTTCCCATGATTAATGCAAAAATTATATTTCAGCGTGCATTTTTTCGAATTTGCAACTGTAAAGGGGATGCTTGGTAATTTCTCAAACATTATTATGGCCACGTAGGTCCTGCCGCTTGTTTGAGAAGATAAACTGTCATCTACTTGCATCATATGTAACTAGTTACTAAATATACTTCTGTAGATAGCAGTTATGCATTCGGAGAGTGAGTAAAGACTGCAGGAGTGCAAACAGAGGACAATAATTTGGTTGTCATGAAGTCTCGTGGTTGAATAATATTGGTTTCCTTCTGGTCCAAATGTATATATGTACTGGTAATATGATAAATGCAGCCAGTACTCCATCCCGATGAAGAGATGGAAAGGTAAAACATAGACTTCAAAAAGTTATTTGTCTTCGGAGATTTCCGTCCATGCTAGACATCCTGCGCTTCTGCAGTTGCAAAACAGAGACTTAGAGAGAGAGAGAGAGATGCTACCCTATTGGCAAGACGGGTTCTTCGCAGTCCGTGGGATGGAGAGTGGGGAGTGGGGAAGGAGGACGTCTAAACTGCTGTTTCCGGCAAATACACCGGAGTTGCACGAGAAGGAAGTAGTCTGGCGCTTTGCCCTCTGTCTGCAGCTGAATTTATGTACAACTCAAGTAGGCATGCCATATAGACACCACACCAAAGCAGCAGTTTGTACATGTTTGAAACAGTCAGGACTGGATGAGGAAATTAATTTTAGGGGGGTTTATAGCGAATATTTAAAAATTATAAATGATTATTTTGTCCTCTTATTAAACTTGGAAACAAATAGGAGACATATATAATTATTAAAGCGTTGGGCCCAGACCATCACATGGCTCACAATTTCGTCCATATCGCCTGCAATTGCCGATTAAACAATTTAACCAATTTAACCTTACTCGGGTTTTCGCTTTACGAAATAGGATAAAGGATGATAAGGTAGGTAAGATAAAATTTATCTTACCCGTATAATATTTTATCTCTTATCATATGTTCAGTTACCTATCTATTTAACAGGATAAAAAACAGGATAAAATTTTATTTTACCAAAATAACCCTGCTTAAAAAAAAAAAAAAGAGAGAGAGCCCCGCCGTGATCTGCGCAAGGCCAGCTGCACTCGCAGAGGCGCTGGCCTGCACGAGCACCAGCCGGCGCCTGCCGCTCATGCAAGCCTGCGCGAGCGATGCAGGGCCCCAGCGAGGTGCCTGCGTTAGCCCCGCCGCTCGCGTAGGCCCTGCGTGAGGGGCGCAGGCCCCGGCGGGGACCTACCCGCGAGCAACGCAGGGCCCCGACGGGCTCGTGCAGGTCCCCGTTGGGGGCCTGGGCGCAAGGGCCGCCGTTGCGCAAGCCGCGGTCGGCCCCCCTGTGCGCGAGAGGGAGAGGGCAAAAATGGAAAAAAAAAGATATCTGGGGGATAAGCCTTATCAGGCTGTTTTCTCCCGGATACAATATCAGCCTACTCCGAGAAAATACTCTGCCCGGAATTTTTTCTGCTCTTGTTACACGCGTACTGAACGCGTGATAAGGGCGGATAACACAGATAACTTTATCTGTTACAAGCCTTTACAGGCCAACCAAACGGCCCCTAAGTATATAAACGGGTTGAATTCGGATCAAATTATAATGATCTGAATTCGAATTTGATTATTAATATATTATTTGAATTTAATTCAAAATTCTATAAAATTTTTATTTATTTTTATCTCATATCCGAATCTAATAAAAATCTAAAATCTGAATAAAAAATTCGATCTAAATAACAGTTAATAATAATTAAAATCAAATAATCAAAAAGTAAAAAAAATATATAATTAAATAAATTATTATTTATAAATGCTAAAAATTCATGTAAGATTTATGATTAATTATTTTGATTTTATTAAAATATAAATAAAATTCAGAAATAAATTGTTATTTATGAATGATTAAGAAAAACTTTTATTAAATAATATATTACAAAAGTTATGGTAAAATTCTAGTATTTTATAAAATTATCAAATTTTATTTATATTATAGTTAGAATTTAAAAAATTTTGTAATCAATTTATTCAAATATTTCATGAAATTTCAAAAGTAATTAATTATTAAATATAATGTCTACTTGAAAAATTAAAATTAGGAAAAGTAGAAAAATATTATAGAATAGTTTAGAAAAAATATATATTATTCTATTAAATAAAATGTCTCATAAGTACAAATTAGTGCATTATTAATTATATATCATATATATTATATTATATATAAAAGTATTTATTAATATATATATGATTATTAATTAAATAAAAAATATTGTTAAAATACTCAGATTCAGATTTTTAACGGATCGGATTACTTAATTCTATATCTGATCTACTTATTTTAAATTACGGTTATTTATAATCAAATTTAATTAATTAAATATTTTAATTAATTAAATAATTTAAAATTTGAATCAGATTCGGATTATAATCTAATCCATTAACAGCCCATACTCGTCATTTTCTAAACAACGGTGTATAACTTGTTCATCCTATAGTTCTTACTTTTTGCGCAACGAACAAAAGCATGTATAACTTTTTAAAAATTAAAATAAATTTTTGAGTTTTTCTGACACTTGACCATTTTAATTTTAATATAGAAATTTTTTTCTCACAAAATTATGAGAAGTGTTTGTTTGGCGAGCTCCACATCACAAAAAGTTAATTTTAATCTCTAATTTAATTTGTGAATTATTTTTAGATATTAGAACTTAAAATATTTTAATTATTTGATAAAAATTCGAACACTTCATTATTTTTATCTTAGAAAGCATAAAAGAAGCACACATTCAAATTATTGAAAATAAAACTAGAGAAATTTATTAAATCATATTCAAATAAATTTTGAATTTTTCAAAAAATATTAGAATATTTTAAACTAAATACTACTTACAATTAAAGACTGAAATGCTTTAAAATTCTCAAATCAAATATTTTGATAAACTAATTTACTAATTTGTGAGAAGAGAATAATTAAAAATACAGTAAAAATATCCGACTTTTTAATTTTTCTCCAACCTTGTATTTTGGAGAGAGAGAGAGAGAGAGAGAGAGAGAGAGAGGAGAGGGGAGACAGGAAGTGTCAATGTGTACGAAAATGGAAAGTTGGGTGCATCAAATGCTGAGGAGTGCCGGGCCCAGATATTGGAGATATAACCCAAAAAAGATCGAGAGAATCAATCCATTTCCTACAGTACTTCCCATTTGCAGTGTCTATTCTTTACCCTCAAAATCAATTTCGGGGTGAGCTTCCCATTTTTGGCCCTCCTCCAAAAACCTTTGTGCTCATTCCTCAACAAAAGCCCTCGTGGGTCTTTCCTATTCTGTGAGATCATTCATCACTTTCTTTCCATCTCATACATTCATATATGCATATATATGTATGTCGCACACATGTACAGAATAGAGCAGAACTTCCTTGTGCTTTCTTGTTTTTCCCGTGGAAGAGAAAGATATTGAGGTTTTTTGAATCGAAAAATGAAAAAGAGAAATAAAAGAAAAGGAGAAAATTCACAACTATACATAAAAAAAACACACCCATATACTTGTATATGTCTCGTGGGTGCTTTTCCCTTTCATGCTATCAATTCTCAAATTAGGTGATTTCTATGTTCAAGAGCTTATAATCTCCTTCCTCGCCAAATAAGCTCTTATAGGTCTTTGCCTACTTTGTACTATCACTTTGTTTCATCTCTATCGTCTCCTTTTTTGGTGGAGATAATATAGATTGGAGATCGTTTGTGCTTACCAGGTACAAATACTCAAGAATCTCTCCCTCTCTCTTTGTCTCTCTCTAAAAGGAAGTTCATCTTTTGCTGCTGTTGGTGTTACTATGCTAGTTCTGGGTTTGAAAGATCTGAACTTCGTTTTTATTTTATTTTACTTTATTTTTTGAAAATCTGAGTTTTGTCCCTCATCTTCTCACCTCTGCATCCCGAAAGCTCTTCTGGGTCTTTCTCTATTTTGTAAGGTCACTTTGTTTCATCATGTACATACCTATATTCAACTCTCTCTCTGAAAGAATGTTCTTTTGCGATTGCTTGTGGTCACTGTGCTTGTTGTGAGCTTAAAGATCTGGGCTTTTATTTTATTCTTCCGAAAAAAAATCGGGTCTAATCCTTTCTTTCCTCACCGCACCTCACCTCATCTCTGCATCCCAGAAGCCCTTCTGGGTAGTGGTAATAGTACATTGTTTGGAGATTTCAACACACTTATATTCTTACATACATATACTTAATAAAAACTTTTGTTAGTTATTGTACTCATTTTGTTTGTTGAGTTGGAAGATCTGAGATTTATTGTTTATTAATTATCATTACTACTACTATTTATTTATTTTTTTGTGGGTGGGTTGTTGAAGGGTACTGAAGATGGGGAGAGGGAAGACACAGATAAGGCGTATAGAGAACGCCACAAGCAGGCAAGTGACTTTCTCCAAGAGGCGAAATGGGTTGCTGAAGAAGGCCTTTGAGCTCTCTGTTCTTTGTGACGCTGAGGTTGCCCTCATCATTTTCTCTCCCAAAGGCAAGCTATTTGAATTTGCTAATCTGAGGTAAGTATGGACGTTTTTACAAACATCTTCTGTTTTCTAAATGGATTTACTATATATGTATATGCATGTAGGTATCGAGTATATGGTCGTTAGGTCTTATTTGCGTGTTGATTCTGGTCACTCCTGTGGTCTTGGAGCTCTGAAATTGCCTTTTTGGGTTGTGGGTTAATTTGAAGTCCTCCAGGCAAAAAAAAAGGAAAAAAGAAAAAATGAGAAATAGAAGATGAAGGTATTTGCATCCTAGGGTTTTATAAAATTTTCTTTTTCTCCGTGATGTGGGTAGTTAGATTTTGGTGTAACAGTTACATGTGCATCTAGTATAAGCGAGTTTGCTTGTATATGTTTGTTGAATGGTTGATGTGTTTTGTTTGTTGACTCTGGTTGCTCTTTTGGTCTTGGAGCTCTGAAATTGCTTTATTGACTTGTGAGCTAATTTTGATATTTTAAATCGAAAATAAAGAAAATAAAAAGAAAGAGAAGATACAGGTGTTTACATCCTAGTGTTAAACGATCTTGGAGAAACATTTCTAAGGCAAATCTTCTGTCTAGAGTAGCATTTCTACCATCATTCTGTTCTCTAACTCTCCAGTCTCTCCCTCTTCTTATGCTTTACTTACATTGATAGTGTGTGCTTGGATATATTTTCTATTTTCTTTTTATTCTTAAAACAGTAAACTCTAAAATTTTTAAAACTTTGAGCGAAATAGATTCTGAGAGTTCTAGAAGCAGCTTTCTATTATTTTCAAAAACATGGGTCTAAAATTTGAACTAAAACAGGAAGTAATTTTTGAAAACAAATTCAAATAACCCCTAAGAAACTCTATCAGATATCATAAAAACGTACTGTAAACTATGGTCTTATAGGTTGATTTTCATCACGTGGGTTAAGGCTTTTCATGAATTCCGGGCTGCTTAATAATTTTAAAGGCCTAAAGCCAAAGTTTAAAATTGAGGGATTTTATTTTTTTAATAAAATTAATATAAATTGTTATTGAAAATTCATTCTTCTGACAATTATAACATGATTATAAAAGTCAATTGTAACAAATATTACCTCACCAATGCTTTAACGTTAGAATGATCTTATTCCTCAATCAAAAAAAAAAGAAGTGTTTTGGTAAGAAAAGAGAGATACCGGATGGAGGTTTGGAGCGTGATTCAATATGAGAAACCAATAAAAATAAAAAATTAAAATTAAATACTTGATTTTGTGGAGAAAAAAAATATAACGTTAGAAGATGAACATTAAAATGAATTTAATGAATTAGATATAATGTTAGGTGGGAGTTGGAATATATAATGATGGAGAAAAAAATAGTAGTTGTGAGATAAATAAATATTAAAATTAAAATATTATTATTTTGGTAATGGGAGATTTTAAAAGAAGAGAAAAATTAGGAGTTATGAGAGAAATGATAAGGTTGAAATTGATTAATTAATATAAATAATACTAATTGTTATAAGTTTCTTAATTTTTTATAATCTAACAAATTATTATTATAATAAAATATTATAAAATCTTAAAATTTGAGGGACCTAAAATTTTTGGGGTCTAAAATAATTTCTTGACTTGCTTTATGCTTAAGCCGGCACTACATGGATTTTGTCATGCTTTTGGTAGTGTTTTTCTTAATCTTCATGAAAAGCCCCAAAAGAAGTACACTTGCATCTAGCTCCTTGTTTCCAGTACCTTTGCTTCTATAAAGCCACCCAGCAGTACAGTTTCAATCTACTAACTTGATCACAATAGGATTGGTTGTGCCTTAATATATTCAGTCTCGTACTTTTGCTTTGCTTTTATGGGAGTTCAATATGAAGTCTACGAGCTGAAGCAATCTCAACCCAACAGGTTTTTGAGACAAACTAGACAGCTTAGATTTTTTAATGATTTAAAACATCTTTTATATATTTTTATTTTATTTTAGTCAAGCTTATCTATTTATTTCATTATACATAATCTATATTTCTTCAACTGTCAAATCTAATTTTTAAATTTTTTTTTAAAAAGAAAAAACTAACATTACCTCTCTATTTTAATAGAGAAGCCAAAATAGATGTAGAAAACTTAAATTAAACTCCAAATTGAGTACATGATAGAGGGAAGTGTAACAGGGAGAGAGACCTGATATGGGTCAGATGGCAAGTGGAGGGTGGAAGTGTGGAAATGGGACATATGAAATCGGAGAAGTTCATAAAATGTAAATTTAGGTGTACATTTGTTTAAAAGTAGACACATAGTGCACCCCATGACAAATAAGAGGACCCATTTGATTAGAAATTTCAATTCCTAGCTCATGATTAAGTCTGAATTCTGATAATTTCATTCTTTCTCTAATTTAGATTCAATGTGTTCTTGCTAGTGTTAAATGCTATTACATTTTATTTCACTTATACACTTCAACTCTTATTTTTTATTCTATTCTAATTTTTTATTTTTCATAAAAATAAAAATAACAATGATTAAAGTTTGATCTTAGAGAGTGTGAACAGTACAGAAAGCTCCATCATACCCCTAAAATTTCAGTTTATTGTTGTTAGTATTATGAACTGTCTACAAAGGCCTATAACTCAGTCAATATGAATTGTTATTTTAAATTAAATAATTAAAATTTAAACTTAAATTATTTTTGTGAAAACTAAAGATGCTCTCAAGAGTATATACAGCATGACTCAGTTTATGACGTCGAAAGTCTTCTTAACTAATTCCGGAGTTGTATTTAAGGTTTTTGCTGACTTGACCTATGATGCCTCACTTATCTCTATTTCAACTCTCCAAGGTCCCTTCTCATACTCTTTTGCTTGAAACATCAAAACCATCTCAGCAACACCCACAGTGATCTTCTGCTGGGTTCGAGTACCGAGGTGGATGTATGGGTACTTTTGTTTAATAAGATTTTGACCATTTATAAAATAACAAATAATTTGAATTCTGTCGGTTTCATCGTTAAAATGAAAAACTGTTTATCTCATATGTCTATAAACGATTGCGAATTACAAATATAAGATTACTCTATTACAAGAGTGAGTTTCCATCCAATTTCAGAGTTATAGATGATTTATTGTTTTTAAAATTTGACAAAATATTTTTTTTAAAAAATTAAATTGTGTAATCTGTGGAACAATATATATATGTGCATGTGTGTGTACACACACTTGTAAAGTAGATGTCTTATTCACAAGTTAGAGATGTTGAAAAGTAGGTATCTTTTTCTTTTTCTAATAATTCTTCATAGGATTCATGGCATTGCCTAGGAGTTTTGTTTGTTTTTGTTTTCTAGTTAATCTATTTTGGGTTGTAACCAAGAGTGTAGAATAAATATTTGATCCTCAGCTTTCAACCTCATTTACCGGAGGTCATAGTATCTTCAGATAGATGCTCTAGTTGCTTCAGCTCAATAGCCCGATGCTTCTTCTCTCTCTATATTTAGATGGCTTGTAACTTGTGAAGGAAACTCATCCTTGAGAAGAAGTTCTGATACGGAATACATGCTCCAAACTTCTAGAAAGGGCTTTTATCTCCGTAGAGACTATCTATAGGCAGCACAGAAGCAAAAATAAATTTCAAAATTTGGATTTTTGAAGGTGCACTTTGAATGTCAGAGCATATTTTACAACTTGAGTTCTGTTTGTTAATCTGTATTATGTATGAAAATTATCATACTTAGGATAATTTCTCCCCATATTTTTTGAACCGGGGCAAAATCTAGCAGGGATAACGAGGAACAAGAGCTAATATTTAGTAATAGACTATTGCAGAGATAGTGAATGGCGGGATTATATTGTTAATTGGAACTTGTTAGAACCTAACCCAACTCAGTAAATCCTTGTACAAACTTAGATAGACCAAAAAACCTAACCCAACTCAGTAAATCCTTGTACAAACTAGTTAGGGATAGACCAAAATGAGTTGCCCCTTACTCATTCACTTCATTAGGGGAAACATATCAAAACTAGCTGGTTTTTTTCATTTATTATCTCAACCCAGGGTCATTTTGATATCTTGTTATTGCTAATTGATGCAATTACATTCAGGTATAATGCAGTTGCTATCTATCTTAATTTCTTATATTTTTGTTTTTCATTTTTAATCTTTTGTAGTTAATTTTGCTGCAATTCCAACCTATCATCCTTGGTAGCTTTATTATGTAAACATGTTGTTTCTTTATTACCCAACATTTTGTAATATAAAGAACATCAAGTTGCATGATTTTGGAAGCTTAGTTCAAGTTGGAAGCACATTAAAATAAATTTTTTTAATCAAACAAACTATTATGAATTTGTCTTTCAATTGGCTTTCTCTTGATATTCCCCGTTACATATGAATGCATATAAACCATTTACGAACATTAAGAAATATGACTTAAGATCTGTTTTGTGTTTATTATTTCAGCTTAATTCTCCATGATAACTATGTCTTCATGAGTGAAAAAGCAACAATGTAGTCTCCCCTCTTTTTTTTTTCCCTCCCCTATTTAGGGCATCATGTTATCAATATTAACTTATTAGCTCCTTGATTTTGCATAAGATAAAGACAACAGAGTTTTCCTAAATTGGTTAACTATATGACTTCCGTGTTGAATGTATATTGGAATTCAATTAGTAATAGTAACCTTCTCACTATTGGGATTAGAAATAGGAATTCTTCTTGCTTTCTTATTGTCTATATAAACGTTTTTTTCTTCAAATTTATTAGTTCATTTTTATCTTATTTTTCTCCAAGATTTCCTTCACTTTTGCATTATGAATAGTATGTGTTATGTTGATCATTTATTTTAGAGCACAAGTTTGCCAAAAATACATAATACTGTTTACATAACTTACCCAAACCTTATTGGAAAATAATAATGAGCTTCAAGTAGAGTAGGTTTATACTTCATTATAATCATATTGTATACAATAATAGATGTAACCACTGTCACACTACATTTGTAACAACTGAGATTGCAAGCTTGTACTCTATATGTTGTGCCAAGATGCTTTAATTATATAATGTTCAATATCTTAACTTTTCATCTTCTTGTATTCAACTTTTGAACTTTCAAAGCTGACATGAAAATTTAAAAGTAGAATTTTACATCATTTTGGTTAAGCTCAAAACAGCAAAATCCTAACACATGTAAGCTGAAATCTCTATGAGGATGCTAAACCCTTATTATAGTTGATTAATAG